AACCCTTTGATTTCTAACAGCCTCTAGGTTGTTAGATATCTAAGTATTTTAATTTTTAATGGTTTTGACTTTAATAAAGTTATGTTGCTATTGGTTGAGAATAATCAAATATTAATAAACTCTGCTTCATATATATATATATATATATATATATATATACTTCATAATTTAAAAAACAGTATGCAGTAGGCTCCATATATGCGTGGCTTAGTGTTATCCCATTGGAGGGAGCATTGTACATAGTACATCAATTATGATTTCACAAAAAAGAGTAACAAAACACAAAAGAAGTTATCATCACTCTTTAGGCAAGAAAGCATATAACAAGAAATAAAATTGGCAGGTTCACTGAATGGCGTGTATTAATTTTGGAAGATATATTTAAATGAAGTATAAAATGTTAATATTCATCACTTATCGACATATGGTTGCTATAACTAGTAAATTTAGATAGACATCTACATTATAGAAGTTACATTCTTCCAAAATGTTGAACCCCAACCCTAAGGACCCCCACACCTCGACCCGACAGAGTATTTGGGAGGATGTAAATCATAGTAATTCAACTAAACATGAACCACAGAGGCTAGACCTTTGCTCACTGCGCACAAAGAACCCCCCTCACTTTGAGAGGTTGCTCCCACACTACCGCTGGTGAGATACATTATAGAAGTTACATGATTTGATGTTCCAATGATTCCTATATAATTTATCTAACTTGTTCTTGAAGACTTCAAGCTCGGTATTTGGCAGCTTGTACGGGTTTCAATGATTCAGTAGACAATATTTGAGAGAAGAGGTCAATGTTCGAACATTGACGGTGACAGTGTATGGATTATGTCCAAAGTAGACAAATCCCTTGTGTGTACCGATATTTGACCCTATCTTATGAGGCATTGAGTCACCGTAATTTACGTCCTCCCAAATACTCTATCGGGTTGGGGTGATTTACATCCTCCCAAATACTCTATCGGGTTGGTAATGGAAGGTAAATAATTAACCCTAATTTAATTGTACATACACATACGTACAATATGTTTTATTCATGAAAAGCACATACGATAAAACGAAGAATGAAAATGAGAAACAGACAAATGAATATCTCATATCCCATTGTTTGATTGATAGAAAATTGCAGGGAAATTAAAAATTCCAACAGGATATTTGGTTCATGAAATTAATTTTGACGGAATAGAAATTCTATTCCACCAGGAATGGAGTAGGTGATGAGTAGAATATGAATTCAATTATATTGTTTTATTCGTGGAAGGAATAAATTCATGAACTGTATTATAGTGTTTGGTTGATTTAAGAAATATAAATGCAATAAACATTCAACTACCACTATATAACACACATTATGCCCGCATGGGTAGCTCAACTGGTCATAGAGGTGAAATTTTGAAAGAATAACTAGGGATCGAGTCTCACCAACGGCAGTGTGGGAGCAACCTCTTAAAGTGAGGGGAGCTCCTTGTGCGCAGTGAGCACCGGTCTAGCCTCTATGGTATATATTTAAAACAATGCATGTATGGTATGTATCTCTACACATAATAATAATAATAATAATAATTATTATTATTATTATAAAATACATTTATAATATATAACAAATATATTCAAAGATAAATTATATATTACCAAATATAAGTTATTCTTCAGAACTATTTGAGATAAACCTAATGCCAAGGTAAAGGCAAAGTCCCAAAGCAGCAAACCTATACAATCCTAAAGTAAGATTGCTCTATCCACACTTTAAAGCCAAAAATCTTGAAGAAAACAGCTAATTAACCAGGACTTTACTGTGACCTATTTTATTCAAAGATCTAGCATGATCTAAGAATCTTACACTAAAACAAATGTTTAATATAAGATTTATGTTTGAGATCAATGTGGAGGGCTGACAGTTGTTCAGGCCAGGTGTCCACCTATGGTTTCTTCTTCAATATTCTCTAGTAAACTTTTAACACCTCAAACTCAAAATAAGTTTTTTGAAATTCATACTATGAAAAAGACCCAAAAAAAAAAATCAAAAAAAAAACAAAAAAAAACAAAAAACAAAACACAAAACACAAAGGCCCTGTTTGGCAAAATAGTTAGTATATCAGTCAATTTTAACTTATTTGACCATTATTAGTTGTTTGACTTGGTTAAACAACTAATATAAGTGTTTGGTTAATTAATTTTTTTGTAACAGCTTATTGCTCCAAATGACTAAGTAGCTCGATTAGTTTTTTTAAAAAGTCATTTTGCATATACTATCAGCTAACAGCTAATTTACCAAACATCTTTGTATAATAATCAGTCAATACTGTCAGGCAGTCATCTAATCAACCCACTAACCTAATCAGCTAACAACTATATATCAACCAATATCTATTTACCAAACATTTCAAAAGTTTTCATGATGACCCCCAGTCGGCAACCACCTTGATCCGCTAAGTGAGCACGTTTTGTGCACAACGCACACCATTTTTATTTTTTTATTTTTATTTTTGCACAAGGCCTACAAAATCGAAGTTATTATAAATTCATTTTCATTCCTCTCCTCTCTCATCTAATTCACACAAAATCCACGTACATATATATATATATATATATATATATATATATATATGTTAAAATTGCTCTAAGTATTCATTGCTTCCAGTATAGCTTAACTCGTCAAATAATTCCAAATAAATTGAGATACTTCACATTGTTAAATATTAACATAAAGGGTGGAAGGCTCGAATGCATGATTTACTCATTTTTCATCGATCTTCAGGATGAAAAGCAGTAAAGAGCTTTCAAGCTTGGGGTTAGTTGAAAAGTATTTAAGCAAGCTAGCTAAGCTGTCTGACCTGTCTCTCTTTAGATTTTTCTGTTTTTATTTTTAATTAAATAAATAAACTCTCCTCGACCCTGTTGCTAAGCACATGGCGACCACTGACCACTTACCATTTGTGTGAGTTTTGGATCAAATGATCCTATCAACTTTTTCCTTAATTATATTACAGGGTTTTGGGAACACTTCACACTTGTCGTTTGCGTGTTTGTTGAATGTGGATATACAGTAATATAAATTAATTAATTAATATAATTAAGACATTTTATGTTGCTTCTTCGAGGTGTCCTAGATCCAAGGACAGCGCTATACTTAAGCTTTTTGGCATATTAATAAGTTGTCTAATTTGCTTTAAATATGCAACAAATGGATTGGTAAACATATGGCCTTGAAAATATACAAATGTTTTATGTTAATTTCCTTTTGATTTGAAATACTTGTGTGTCATTTAAAAATAAATAAATTAATTAATTAAGAAGATGGTATATTACTAATCATAATATGTTGTTAAAATATTTGGGGTGAATTAATAAATTAAAAGATTAATAGTACTGATAGCGATAGACAAAGGTACAAGTTGTAGTTTGCTATTCTTAACACCCCTCTCAATGGTGTTCAATAGATGCTAATAGCTGATTTTTTAGAACGACTTGACCACGTTACTTGTAGTTTATTTTGTTTGGTCTTTTCACACGTATACTTTGCAGATATGGTAAGCAATTTAGAAAATGCTTTATTTCTTTTTATTAAATTGTTTTAATTATTATCAGTTTTTTTTTTTTTTTTTTTTTTTTTTTTTTTTGCAGGTAAAATCCATTATCTATGTTAATGTGAAGGTAATTCAGATTCGATTAGAGTAGTGTTCGTACAATTGTTATACCATGGACCAAAGTTTATATTGTATTGTGACTTTTGATTAAAAAAAATTGTATCTGCAGTTAACATATTTTGTACATAAAGTTAACAATTTCTGTACATGTAAACAAATTGAAAGCACATAACATGATAATTACAGACACATAAATTGTTAACAGCAAGTACAGAATATGTTAACTGCATACACATTAAATGTTGGTTAAAACATATTTTGTACCTGAAATTAACAATTTATGTATTTGTAGTTATCATGTTATGTGTCTATAATTACTATGTGATGTGCCTTCAATTTAATTACAGGTACAGAACTAATTAACTATAGGTACAAAATCTGAAGATTATTTTTAAATTAGGATTCACAATATAAGGTAAATCCTGATCCGTGGTATTATTTACCGTAGAAGTTGCCTACCTTGCAATTACATTAAAAATCACTTAATGAAACTGGTGAGTTAGTCATTTAGATTTGAGTAAATACCCAAAATGGTCCCTCGACTATAGCTAAATTCACAAATTGGTCATCGACTTTCAATTTCAACCAATTAAGTCCTTAACTTTGCAATTTTAACACGATTTGATCCTTCGTCTATTTGATCGTTTGTTGACTGTGATTTTTGAGGATATATATGTAATTTCATGGTCCATCGTCGATTTTTTAAGGTTCCGGTTGGATTTTCAGACCACACTCTAGTTGAGTTCGTACCAGAGCAAAGAAACGACGTGTTTCCGAAACGGTGCAACGTCATCCTGGAGGCCTCCATGTGCTCCGACGAGAGCTGCAAGTTCTTCTGGAGATCGTCAATGACGGCGCAGCCGCCAGCGATGATGCCGAATCGCGGCGAATGATGCAGAATGGTGAAATTACATATATATCCTCAAAGATCATGGTCAACAAACTGTCAAATAGACAGATGATCAAATTGTGTTAAAATTGTAAAGTTAAGGACTTAATTGGTTGAAATTGAAAGTCAAGGACCAATTTGTGAATTTAACTATAGTCGAGGGACCGTTTTGGGTATTTACTCTTTAGATTTTAAATCTGTATCTTCCCTTTTTTATATTTAAATTTAAATTCTGAAAATTGGAAAATGTTTTATGTTATTGAGCTGGGTTAGCAGGTCACAGCCCACCGTAGGCCCAATTTTATGAAGCTGAATTTCCCTATAAACGATGGGCCCATCAGAGAAAGTTTCTGGGCTACGTTGGCCAGTAATCTGAATAGCCCAATCATAAAAAAGGCCCAAACTACACTTACCGTTTTCTTTCCCAACCCGGCATTTACCGTTTAAGGCACGTTTTAACGGTCAACGCAAATTGTACTGTTTTGGGGGCGAAGCTCTTAGCTCTGTCCTCTTCACTCTGTGGAAGTCCGGATCCCGAAACCCTAGCTCCGCCGAGGGAAAATGGAAAGTCTCCGCGCCATTGTCTTTGTCACTTTGATCTCTCTGCTATGCCCGATCTTAACCAGGTCTTTCTCGCCTGATAATCCGACGGATCGCCGCATTCTTGTACTGCTCGACGACTCGTCCCTCAAGTCATCACACTCCCTCTTCTTTAACTCTCTGCAATCTCGCGGTTTCGCGCTGGAATTCAAGCTCGCCGATGATCCCACCATCAGTGTCCAGCGATATGGACAGTACTTGTACGATGGGATCATTCTATTCTCGCCGTCAGCTGAGAGTGAGTGTAACTGTTGATGAATCGTCTTCGATTTCAAAATTGTATTTACCTAGCTGCATTTCTTTTTGTATTTTAGTTTAATATGTGAAATTCGATGCTAGGATTTGGAGGGGCATTGGATTTGGCTGCTGTGATGGACTTCGTTGACTCAGGTCGTGACTTGATTGTGGCTGCCGATGCTAATGCATCTGATTTGATCCGAAACATTGCTGCAGAGTGCGGTGTCGATTTTGATGAGGTCTCTCTACTTTTGTCTTTCAATGTTTGATATATGGTCGGATATTTTCATAAGTTCATTCTAGATTTTGGTTATTAGCATTTTTTATTTTGGATGGTTATGCAGATGGAAAATTTAAAACTTAAGGACGGAAATTGTATCTAAATGTCCTTGAAATCGTGATCAGTGAATTAAAATGGAACGTGCAAGGCCTCAAAGTGGAAAATGTTAAGCAATTTTCAAAATGAACAATAAGCAATCAGTGTGTGGTGTGGAAGAATTAAAGTTAATTTTTGTATTTTTATAGTTTTACTAAATTGACAATGCAAAAGTTGCTTATTTAAAGAATAATGAGGCTATAAAAGATAGACCTCATTGTTTCTGGTGTCTTGGTTTTCTGGTCTCTTGTGCTTAATACTTAATAGTGTTCATTGAAGGGGCTTCCTTCAGTTGTATTTCTCCAAAGTGTATATCTTTTTTCAATGTTAATATTCTGTTTGGTGTTTTGGCTTGGTGACCCATTAGCTTATTAATGTGGGCTCTCTGTCCTTAAACTGCATTTTTGATGCAACAGGATCCGTCTGCTGTGGTTATTGATCATTCTAGCTATGCTGTCTCTGAAACTGAGGGAGATCATACACTGATTGCATCTGACAGTTTTATTGAATCCAATGTTGTCTTAGGAAGCAGAAAGATTGAGGTTAGTTTTGGACTTAACATATAACTTTTGCCTAGTGCCAAGCCTTTTTACAGGTTGGAATCATGAAACTTCACTCTTTTTTGTGTACATGCATACATCATGATCATTTTTGTTTGAGGACAGATGTCATAAACTCCCATGGATGTGCACTCTATTATTTCTCAACTGTTATTATTTCCCTCACTTTTTACCACTTTGTCACATTGTTGGGATATGCATTAAGGACAGCATTTGTTGATTTAATTCTTACGAAATTTTAATTACGAACAGGCTCCTGTACTCTTCAAAGGGATTGGCCATTCGTTAAATCCTGAAAATAGCCTGGTAATGTTACAAAAGTTGAATTACTTGTATATGGGTGTATCAATTTTTGATATTCTTTTTTTCAGGTGTCTGTTTTATGAAACTTCTTTTCTTGGTGATCAATCACTTTGTAGGTCTTTAAAGTTCTTTCAGCTTCTCCTTCAGCATATTCTGCTAACCCAAAGTCTGAGTTGTCAAAGCCTCCATCTCTTACGGGATCTTCTATCTCACTGGTTTCAGTTATGCAGGTATGTGTTCCGTTTTCATGCCAAATTAGTGGCCTAAGTATTCTCTATAGTTGTGGTTGGTCCATATAATATTTATGCATCTTTTTTCTTTTAAAGTTTCTTTTAATCCCTTTTGCATATTTTGTTGGAACTCATGTTAAGCAGGCTAGAAATAATGCACGCATTTTGGTCTCTGGCTCTTTAGCAATGTTCAGTAATAGGTATGTATTATCCTAATATTGCGCTGATTTTTATTCATCTGATAATGAGCTTAAATATATTCTTCCTTCACTTACAGATTTTACAGATCAAGAGTGCTGAAAGCTGATAGCTCAACTAAGTGAGTGAAGTTCTATATTCTCTTCCCATGTGCTGATGTGCCTTTTTTTTCATTTTCTTTGTGATGATGATCAATTTCCTGGCTTAATTTGTCATGATTCATGACTTGTTCATGGTATATGTGGAACTTCCTCCGAATGATTAAGGACCTATATTTTCCCTTGTGAGCACATCTCTGTATCTTACTCTTCTCTGCTGTAAACATGACGACAAAGTCAGCTCCTTGTTCCTAGTCTAGCGTTGGTGGTGGCTGTATTTGTTTAGAGCCCCTATGTTTTTACTGTTTCTGATGAGTGGCAGGGAACTAACAGAAAAAGGTTACTTCTTCAAACAGATATGAGAAATGTGGCAATGAACAGTTTGTTACTGAACTCAGTAAATGGATCTTCCATGAAAGGGGCCATTTGAAGGTGAGTGATAAAAGGCACTGACCATTGTCTATTAATTGATTTTGTGTTCAAATTTCCGTTAGTTTTCACACTTTTAATTGCCTATTAATTTATTTAACATTTTCTTTCTCAGGCCATCAATCTCAAGCACCACAAAATTGGTGAAAACGAAGAGCCTGCAATGTATAGGATCAAAGATGACCTGGTCAGTTTGAAAACTCAGTACCATGCTTATATTTTTACTTTGGCGACTAAAAATGTATCACATTGACATAAATTTGCTCTTTTGGCAGGAATTTTCTGTTGAAATTTATGAATGGTCTGGAACTAGCTGGGAACCATATGTCACTGATGATGTTCAGTTGCAGTTCTACATGATGAGCCCCTATGTCTTGAAAAATTTGGCTACTGATCAGAAGGTATCAAACCACCAGGCATATTTGCAGTTCTGATTCTTCTAGAATCCTCTTTCATTCATACCCTCTATATTGCATTTTCTTCACAGGGACTCTATCATACTTCATTCAAGGTACCGGATGTTTATGGGGTTTTCCAGTTTAAAATTGAGTACCAGAAGCTTGGATACACCAGCTTATCACTTTCAAAACAGGTTAGACTTGCAACAATTGTTCACCCAACTTTGAAAGTTGAACCCAAAATCATCAAATTTTAGTCTCTGGAATTTATATGTTTCACCTTGGCAGTCTACATAAAATTCTGTAGTACAGTACTAATGATGAGTTGATTGAATTCAAAATCTAATCTGTTACAAGAGATTACAAGGATAAGACCTATAGGAAAGTTACCACTTAATACTCCTAAACTCTAGGCTAGAATAGTAGACTAAATCTACAACAACTAATACAAACCATATATTATAAAGATATTACAATATTACTGACACTAATAAACCCTATTCAAACTAAAATTCTTATTTGAAAAATGATTGAGATCTTTAAATGAATAAATGCTTTGATTCATAACTAGAAACTGAACTGGTATCATGTTTTATAGTATGAGCAGCTAGAGAATCAATTATATGCTGACGTGTAAAACCTTGCACTCTTGCAGATTCCAGTACGACCATTCAGACACAATGAGTATGAAAGATTTATAACCACGGCTTTCCCCTACTACGGTGCTTCATTCTCCACTGTAAGAATCTCTTCTCTTGCACTGTATAGCACAAATCTCACTCCCGCAATATTGATAACTGAAACTATTTGTTGAATGCGCAGATGGCTGGATTCTTCATATTTAGCATCGTATACCTTTACCACAAGTAGAGACCTTTTGGAGATGTAGTTACTTCCCGGACTTAGTAATCTAATACTTTCTAAGCACTACCCCTGTACGCTCTCTCTCTCTCTCTCAATTATTCTACTAGAATTTGTGTTACTGATCCATTAAGCAAGGGATTTTTGCATCTTCCCATTTTGTTTGCACTCAGGTTATGTATAACTGGATTTTTCAAATGCTGTGACATTAAATAGAATGCGTTATAGTCTTATGTATAACTGGTGCAGTTATACTACTAAACTTTTTAAAGCAAAAAAACGCACTGAAGGGCAATGAGCTTTTTAAAAGAAAAAATATATATACTTAAAAATACTATAATATTAACCTAAAAAATATAAATTATTCAATTCAATAATAAAGTTTAATTCAAATAAATAATTAATTAAACTTGAATTATAATTCAAGATTTTGATTATAAAAATTTCAAAACTTTGAGTTAAATATTTAATACAAAAAATTGGAAAAAAAAAACTGTGTAGAGTAATGGTTAGTATTGCCAAAGTGCCAAACTCTCAAGTTAATAAGTCCTCAAGACTATTCATATTTAACAAGTAAGCGGCGTCAACATAAGAAGAAAAAAAACAGAGCGAGAAGCTGCGTAGTAGCGATCAGGTGGAGGGGCGAAGTACCTCGAGACTGTGAGTGTGGAGTCGCGACGAGGAAGAGGCAGTGTGACGGTGATGGTTGGGCAGGTTGGCTGTTGGCGACGTTCGAGGAAATGTCGTAGTGAGGGATGAAGACGATTTTGGAAGCAGAAGTAGCAGAACTGTAGAAGGATTTTACGAGTCGTAAGTTGAAACTAAGGTTGAAGACTTTAATGGGCTGTTTGGTTCACGGAATAGGTCTGGAATGACATAACATTCCCAGTAATAGGCCTATTACTCTGTTTGGTAACAACATGTATTCCCAGAAACATTGTTCCCGAGCATGACCTATTCCCCTTGCAAAGGGAATAGAGATTCCTGGCCTCCCCTAGGTATTAGGCTATTCTTGAGTTCGCAGGAATAACCTAAAATTATTATTTCCAATTTTATCCCTCCCAGATCTGTTGGTTCTCACCGGGCGACCATAATGCCGATCTGCTGCCCCCTCGTGATGATCGGTGATGACCTCAGCCACCGCCGCTGCTCGCCGTCGATGGACTCCACCGCCCAGACGCCAGAAACCAGAGGACGCCGCCGATGAATTGAGAAACTCGGGCGTTCATATTACAGCAAAGGAGATGAAAAGGCCAATTTATGTATTCTGATGAATTGAGAAAAGCATGTCATCAATTCGTACATCGGCAAACTATATATATATTAACACACACTCACACGTCTACAACATCTCACAAAAAAACAGTAAACTGAGTACAAAAGTTTGCGAAGAATTCAAGAAGGATGATGAGGTGGATCGATTATATAAAATAAAAAATAAAAAATTATGAAACATAAAAAATTATATAAAAAAAATCAAACGCCATATATATTCACCATACAGAATTACAGAGATAGGAGAATGAGAGAAGAGAAACGATGAAGAGATTGATTGAGTGTGGAGACTGGGTTTAGATCTAGGGTTTAATAATAATAATAATAATAATAATAATAATAATAATATATTTTGTACAAGGGTATTTATGTCTTTTAAACATATATTCCATTTCTATTCCTTAACCAACCAAACGTTGGAATACAATTCTTAAAGTCTATTCCTTTAGCGAACCAAACAACATAATACAATTCATATTCTATTCCTTACCTATTCTATTCCTTGTGGAATAGTATTCATATTCCCTCCAAATTGATTCCGTGAACCAAACGGGCCATAAGGGTTTTGCGAGTCGTAAGTAGAAACTATTTGATGTATTTTGGATCGTTATGCTCTGCATCCGTATGCACAAAGCAGGATGCATCCATATGCAAAAACGACGTCGTTTTGACGTCTAACTTAAAAAAAAAAAAATTCAGAATTGCATAACTACACATTCATAATTTCATAATTATACATCCAGAATTACATAACTATACATCTAGAATTACATAACTACACATCTATAATTTCATAACTATAAATCCAAAATTGCATAACTACACATCCATAACTTCATAACTATACATCCAGAATTGCATAATTACACATCCATAACTTCATAACTATAAATCCAGAATTGAATAACTACACATCCAGAATTGCATAACTATACATCTAGAATTGCATAACTGTACATCCAGAATTTCATAAATAAAAATCTAGAATGAATGAACTAAAAAATGAATAACATAATGTTGTTGCTGGGAATCGAAACTGATTTTTTTTTTAAAGTACGACGCGCGTTTTGATGCAAAACGACGTCGTTTTTGCATTCGTATGCACCATGCATGGTGCATACGGATGCACAACATAATTTGCCATGTATTTTTTTTGCCGACCATTGACTTGGGCTTCGTATAATAAAGCGTTGCTTTTTGGTCGCTTCGTCCCCTAGCCGGGAAGTACAGTCAGGCGCTCACTTTTTCATGGAGCTGTGCCTTTCCAAGGCGTAGCAATCTGCTGTCGCACGTCTCGCATAAAATTTGGTCTCTGAACCGGCGAGACAAGGTTATCCTCATTTACGACCAAAAGGTTGAAATCATATTGGTCTCTTGACCGGCGGGGCACAGTTATCCTCTTTTACGATCAGAAGATCAAAATCATATTGGTCTTCGGATCGGCGGGGCACAGTTATCCTTGTTTGCGATCACAAGATCGAAAAATCATTGGTCTCCGGACCTCTACGATCCGAAGATCAAAAGACAAAGGTCTCCGGACCCCTGCAATAAGAAGATCAAAAAACAATGGCTCTCCGGACCAACGGAAGAAGCATGCCCATTTAAAAATCTACGATCTCTGGAACAGCGGGGGAAAATACCCTCGACCATGTAAATTTCTAGTTTAATTTGCTTTGTAAATTGTAATACTAGATTAGTCGTGTACGAAGCCCAGTTAGGTTGGTACTGCCACCACCGGCCCTGTAAGCCCGAGATTATATCGCAGCATAAGCCCTATGAAGTAGGCAATTAAGCCCGGTTAGGTCGGCATTGCCTCCACTAGAGCTATAAGCCTGGCTTAGGTTAACATTATTACCATAGGCGCTATAAGTCCGATTAGGTCGGCATTGCCACCGTCGGCACGACGAGCACGGGACCAAATCTCGGTATTAAGCCCGCGAGGTTGGACTTTCCACCTTGGGTAAATCCAATCTCTTGATTGGGAAAATTGATCACATGATCATGTTAAAAATCCGATCACTTGATCGGTAGCATTCAATCCCTCTATCATGTTAGAGATCCGATCTCTTGATCGGTAAATTTAGACCTCGTAAATCCCTAAAGTCCTACAAGTTAGACAAATCGACCATCAATACTATAGGTATGGTCACTGTGAACTCGATCGAGTTACTTCCCGATCGCAATCAAAATTGAAAAACAAACTCGGGCGGCCATCATTTCTACTCCCTTGTGTTGACGATTCTCGCAACATAGGGAGTTGGAGGAGGGGGGGGGGGGGGGGAGGGGGCTACTAATAGGATTGTAGGGCGGGAGCTCACTAAAGCACTTCTCGAGCATAATGACCTTCCCGGCCTCGTTAGACTTTCGGGTCTCCTAGCGTCCCTTCATTTGGGGCTCTTGGTTCGTAAATCGAGCGCAAAATGACGAAATCGCCCCGTTCAAATAATTTTTTTATTTTCAAAACTCATCATAGTAATTAATGTGGTAATCAAGAACAACCAAACACGATTGACTAAGAACGATCTTAAAACCAAAGTAATCTAGGTCAGGGTTTGACCGAGTTCAAACTAACTACGACCAGTTAGCCCGAGTAAGGGCATTAGGAGAAGTGCTCTCGCTTATGATCGATAAGATCAGTAATAGGTCCTTGGACAGCGGATAAGTTCAATCTCTTGATTGGTAAATTTCGATCCTTAGATCATGAGCAAATCCAATCCCTTGATGGGGTAAAATTGGATCTCTAAATCGCAATTAAATTTGACATCCCCATCATAGCTAATAATCCGGTCGCTAGATCGGTAAATTTTGATCTCTCAATCATGTTACAAATCCGATCCCGAGATCGGTTAAAATTCTGACAACCCCTTATAGTCCAAAAGACTGTACTAATGATTGTGCTCTTTTTTCCTTAATTAACTAAAAAATTTTCCTACTGAGTTTTTTCTTCGTCTAAGATTTTTAACGAGTGAACCGGCGTAAGTCACGGACTATATAGTCAGATTCCCAGCCCAAACCCTTCTTCACTAGCTCAACGTTAGGGCTCGGACGGGGGGAGGGGGGTGACTACTTGATAGGGAATATTCTTCGGGTTTGACCCCTTCCTGTACGTTTCATGATCCTAGTCGGGATCAAGGTCGGTGTTCGGGTTCACGGTTAGATAGTCAATGTCTTTGCCTATAAAAAGGCCATTAGACACACAAGTTTTTTTTTTTTTTTGGGAGGGGTTGGGGAGGTGGATGTCCATTCTTCTCTACTCTCTAAAGCACTCTCTACGGCCTCTTTCTTGAGGAGATTCAATAAATGGAGACTCTTTGAAGCCATTTTCCCGGATTTTCTCCATCTTCATATTTTATCATACAATCTACGCATGCTACTATACACTCGAAATACAGGAACTAATTTGTATTATCAGGTTAGGACTAATGATAAAAAATACTGATCGTTAATTTATATTATATTGACAATAACGTCAAAAGGTAATATAATAGGAAAAAGTGTTAAATTGGCCCCTAAGTTGAATGCATAGTGCAGTTGGGTCCCCTAAGTGAAAAAAGCTCTATTCAGGTCCCCTAAACCTGTAAAATTGTTCAATTAAGTCCAATGTAACTTGTTTATCAGGTTAAATGCATACGGTGTTGACACATGTCCTTATTTTATTTTTTTATTAAAAATAATATTTATTATAAATTAATAATAATAATAATAATAATAATAATAATAATAATAAATTATTATATATATATATATATATATATATATATATATATATATATATATATATATATATATAAAACAGCCATAGGCTGTCGACGTCGGACAGCCGATGGCTGTCTTCCTTCTTCAAGGACAACCGTGATCGTCCGGCCACGGCTGTTTAAGGAAGACGGCCATGGCCGTCTTCTAGATCTGGACGTGGACTACGACCTTCGCCGCCGCCCTGACGAAGGGGACTGGAACGGCAGTCTTCCTTAGACGGCTATGGCCGGACGACCACGACTGTTTTTTTTTTTTTTAATTATTATTCTTATTATTTTAATTAATTTATAATTAATAATATTTTTAATAAAAAATAAAATAAAGACACGTGTCAACACCGTATGTATTTAACCTGATAAACAAGTCAACTTGGACTTAATTGAACAATTTTACAGGTTTAGGGGACCTGAATGGAGCTTTTTTCACTTAGGGGACCCAATTGCACTATCCACTCGACTTAGGGGGCTAATTTGATTATTTTTCCTAATATAATATAATAAAGGTCAATGGTCTTTGGGTTTTGCCTCTACATTAAATCACGGAGTTGGGGAGAGGTCATTTGTTTGAGTTTTTTGTTGTTAAATCGTGGAATTGAGTGTGATTTGAGAGGAGAAAATAAAAATATTAGGTGAAATTTTATTAATAGTTACCGTCAACTAGTGTGTCCGGATGAACAGACATGAACTAAAAGTTATAATGTAAGGAGTAAATATGATTTTACATTATAATTAACTCAAGGGAGAATGACACTTTTTCCCCCTGAGTTATATACTTATAGTACTTTTTCCCCCTTAATTATTCAAGTGGCTGTTTTTCCCCCTAAAATGTTAAATGGACATATTTACCTTTAAAATAAATATTTCATTTATTTTTCATCTCCAACAAATTATGATCATAATTTGGTTCAAACCAAACAAACACTATAGCAACCAAACTGAAATATTTCAATTACAATTTAGAATCGAAACTCGATATTTAGAGTTTATCAAAATCGCGAACTGGAAAGGACGGTTCATGTTCCGAACTGAAAAAAATAAAATACATTTATTGTTGAAGTTAGACTATTTTAAAATAAAAAATAAAATTTTAAAATAAAGACGGTTCAAAATCGCGAACCGGATCCGGAACCGCCGATTCACGGTTTAGGATCCAATTTTTTTGATTCATAATTTTAATAAATTGAAATCCAAATATTGGGTTCTCGATCTGAATCATAATCGGAAACTTTTAATTGGATTGCTATAGTGTCTGGTTCAGTTCGAACCGAACCGTGGTGATCCCTATGTATACGCAATAATTTGTTGGAGAAGTAAAATAAATAAAATGTTTACTTTAAGGGTAGAAATGTCAATTTAATATATTAAGGGGAAAAACCACCACTTTTAGAATAATTGAGGGGGCTAATGTGCTTACCTAAATAATTAAGGGGGGAAAAGTGCTATAAGTATATAACTCAGGGGGAAAAAGTGTCATTTTCCCTTAACTCAAAAATGTCTTGAATATGGTATTGTTTTATAACTCAAAAATCGAAAAGTATAATTTTTTTTAATTGTTATTTTACTTTTGACAGGAAAAAATGGTGAATACACTCACATGCTAGTAATAAAACGGAGCTAGTGTAGGGGCAGCTGTCCCCACTCTCCCCACCTCACCCCTTTATATATATATATATATATATATATATATATATATATATATATATATTACATTATAATTAACTCAAAAATCGAAAAGTATAATTTTTCTTAATTGTTATTTTACTTTTGACAGGAAAAAATGGTGAATACACTCACATGCTAGTAATAAAACGGAGCTAGTGTAGGGGCAGCTGTCCCCACTCTCCTCACCTCACCCCTTTATATATGTGTGTGTGTGTGTGTGTGTGTGTATATATATATATATATATATATATATATATATATATATATATATATATATATATATATATATATATATAGAAGAGCGCTCATATGCGGCGGGGTCTTACGGTGCGGCGGTGCGGTCAAATTCCAGAATACACCAACAGTGTTAACAATATGCACCAACAATGTAATAAAAACACACCCCAATGAAATGTAATAAAACATCACAAAATACACCACAGACTCAAAAAAACACACTATATAACTCACCACCCCCAATGGTGTATTTCCGAACAGTGTATGGTGTTTTTACTCACACCTAATGGTGTGTGTTTGGTGATGCAGGGCTCTGTTTACTCTGTTTTGTGTGGTGTATTTCCTAACGTTGATGGTGCATATTTGGTGAACTATTGGTGTTGCCGCACCGTAAGAAATAACCGCACCGTAAGACACTGCTGCACCTGAACCCGCCTATATATATATATATATATATATATATATATATATATATATATATTACATTATAATTAACTCAAAAATGTCTTGAATATGGTATTGTTTTATAACTCAAAAATCGAAAAGTATAATTTTTTGTTATTTTACTTTTGACAGGAAAAAATGGTGAATACACTCACATGCTAGTAATAAAACGGAGCTAGTGTAGGGGCAGCTGTCCCCACTCTCTCCACCTCACCCCTTTATATATGTGTGTGTATGTGTGTGTGTATATATATATATATATATATATATATATATATATATATATATATGATAAGGTATATACCCCGGGTCCGTGCCATCGCTCGGTCATGAGGGGAGGCGACGGGTCAAACCCGAGATGGGTCAAACCCGCCGCCTCGGTGGGCCTTTAAAAGGGCCTGGAGCCCTTTGGGAAAGGGGAGGCCCATTTCCTCCCTTCCCCATCTCTCGGCTCTCTCTCTCCCTCTTCTCCCCTTTCTCTCAAAATGCAGAGGCAAATAACAACAAACCAGTTTAATAAAAGAGGGATTTTGAGCTATTTTCTTGTGTTCTTCCTCATGTTTATACATATACATGCAGAGGCAAATAACAACAAAATGCAGTTTAATAAAAGAGGGATTTTGAGCTATTTTCTTGTGTTCTTCCTCATGTTTATACATATACATATTCATCCAGTACATACACCCTTCTATGCGGGGGAATTAATACTATCAAATGGCGCCGTCTGTGGGGACCCGAAAAAAGAGCTCTGTTCCTACCATCAAAGAGCTAGTTGGAAAAGGAGAAAAGATTTGGGGGAAGACGGAGGAGCTCTGCCGTCCGCCGCCGCCCTACGCCATGAAGCCCATCGTCTCCGGCTGGAAGACCGGCGACTCGCTGCCGACCCGGACGGCCTCCATCGCGGAGCTGCTACGCCGGAGTTCTTGCTGGTCCACCGCCGCCAGTTGCGCCGAGAAGATGGAGGAGAAGATGGAGGGACGCCGGAGCAGTTCACGCCGCAGCCGCCGCCGTCCAGCACTGCCGCCGCTGTCCGCCAGTCACGCCGCCACCACCTCCGTCGACGATGCCATACATCGTCCGCCGCCGCCGCTGTCCAGGCCGCCAGCCGCCGCCCGACGCCACCGCCGCTGCCTTGGGATCCTGTCTCGCCGGTGGAGGAGCTCCAGGCCGCCGTCGCTTTTGCTGTCTAAAAAAAAAAAAAAAAAGAAGAGAAGCGGAGAAGAAGAAGAAAAAGAGAAGCAGAGAAGAAGAAGAAGAAGAAGAAAATAAAAAAATAAAAAAAAGAAGAAGAGAGAAGAAGCAGCTTGTAATTATTGGTGGGAGGTGGCGGTGGAAGAAAGCAAAACCAAGAAGTCAAAGCATTAATTTGTGGCATTAATTGTGTGGCAGGCAATTTGTGGTGGAGAAAAGTGAAAGTGGATGGCTGGCACGTGTGAGGCTTTGAAGATGAAGACAAATTACATTATTTGTAATTTTTGTAATAGTCTAATTAGACTAGTCAGGCCCATAATTTAAAATGGGCCGTAGCTTTTTTTATAGCAAGCTGTATAGGCCCAATTACAAATTGTATAGGTTATGGGCCTGTACCTAGAAGTTGTAATTAATTGTAATAGGTCCGGTTAGGTTGGTATTCTCACCACCGGCACTAAGAGCCCGGTCAGGTCGGCCTCGCCACCACCGGCATTGTTAAGCCCGGGAAGAGCCCCGGCACCAAGCCCTACCACGTAGGCAAATTTGGGTCTCCAGACCAATCGGACGATGCTCCAACGAAGATCGAAGACGGGCACCTCGCCCAACACACCTCTCCCTCGGTTCCGACCGATAGCGGTGTCCGAAGACCAAAGACGGGCGCTTCGCCCCACACACCTCTCCCTCGGTTCCGACCGATAGCGGTGTCCGAAGATTGAAGACGGGCGCCTTGCCCAGCAGCCAAACCGGCTCTAATAGCCGTCACTCCTCTCCCTCGGTCCCCATCGATAGGGGTGTGCAATCGGGCTCTAATAGCCTCAGTTCTGCGGCTCTAATAGCCGACTGACCCTTGACCGGGTGAGGCAATCGACTGGTCATATCGCCGATCGGGGAGGTCGACACCACGGCATATTCCCCGATCCGCCCGCTCCTCTCCGGTACTGCACTCACTCGCGCCCCGAGCGCGCACAGTGGGGGCTAAATAGGAAGGGAGTGCCGCAGGTCCCATGCTCGGGAACATCCCAAGCAGCGGGCCCTCGTGAAGTGTTTAGGCCCACACTCGGGAATCCCCTGATCGAGGCGGCCAAACAGTGCCTGAAGAAGTATTCCAAGGCCCGAAGGCCGGGAATCACGGTTCGGGCCGGCACTCGGGAAAAACCCCCGATCCTGACGGCCAAGTAGCAGTTGAAGCAAGCCTAAGGCTAAGAAAGGTTCCAAGGCCCACGAGTCGGGAACTGCAGTTTGGGCCCAAGGTCGGGAATATCCCGTCCTAAACGGCCCACCCGAAGACCGAAGACCGCGCCCTGAGTTCGCCCGGCCGCTAGTTTCACTGTCGCACGCCCTTATACTTAAGTACGTCCGACAGTGGGGGGCTGGGCAGGATAGGCCGGGTCGAATCGTCTGCTCGGATAACATACTGATATGTGGGTCGCCCGAGGCCATGCGCCTAGTCGGCCTAGAGCGGCTGGTTCAACCCGTCTGCCCGGGTAAGGCGATGCTGGCATGGGGGTCGCCTGGAGGCTATTAGCCCGGTCGTCCAACGCGCTTTCCCACCTCGAGCAGGTCGGCACTGCCACCTCCGACGAGAAGGGAAAGTGAGCCACGCGCCTTGTTAGACCGAGTAGGTTGGCACCGCCGCCTCCGGTGTTTCTAAAGACCAGTTAGGATGGCCTCGCCACCACTGGCACTCTATGACCGGTTAGGTTGGCATTGCCACCACCGGGTCTATGAGTCCGGTTATACCGGTTGATACCGCTTCTTAGCGATGCCGCTTTTCAGCGATGAATCCCGCTTTCCAGCGATTCATATATCGCTTTTCAGCGATGTATTCCGCTTCTTAGCGATGCCGCTTTTCAGCGATGTATTCCGCTTCTTAGAGATGCCGCGTTTTAGCGATGATATGTCCGCTTTTTAGGCGATGCCGAGCGATATGCTTGTTCCGCCTCTTAGCGATGCCGCGTTTTAGCGATGACATTTCTGCTTTTAGGCGATGCCGAGCGATATGCTTGTTCCACCTTTTAGCGGAGCCGCTTTTAGCGATGTTTCCGCTTTTAGGCGATGTCGAGCGATGTGCTTGTTCCGCGTCTTAGCGATGCCGCGTTTTAGCGATGTTTCCGCTTTTAGGCGATGCCGAGCGATGTGCTTGTTCCGCCTCTTAGCGATGCCGCGTTTTAGCGATGATATTTCCGCTTTTAGGCGATGCCGAGCGATGTGCTTGTCCACCTCTTAGCGATGCCGCGTTTTAGCGATGTTGTTTCCGCTTTTAGGCGATGCCGCGCGATGTGCTTGTTCCGCCTCTTAGCGATGCCGCGTTTTAGCGATGTTGTTTCCGCTTTTAGGCGATGCCGTGCGATGTGTTTACCGCCTCTTGGCGATGCCGCTTTTAGCGATGTGTTTACTATCTTTGTGTGATGCTTTACCGCTTTTTTTTAGCAACGTGTGTGTACCGCTCGTTAGCGGTGTTGTGCCCGATCGTCGGCGCGGTAGTTGTAGCCGGGTGCACTCACATTGCGGACCCGGTCGAGGCACTTCCCGACCGCGATGTCGTTTCCCGGACGGTAACCCGTCGTATCCACTCCTTTGTGCTGACGGTTCTTGCACCTGCGGGAGTGGGGGCTGCGCTGGCCCGAGCAGCTCGTCTGCGATTTAGTTTGCCCGAGTAGAGCGTTCGTCGGTCAAAATGGTCGAATCACGTTCGCTTCGCCCAGTAACGTTTCGCCCGAATGAATCCGGTCTCTCGGTCACAAGCGGATCCAACCCCATAGTTGGTTAGCAGATCTCCATATCGCAGTCAAATCGACAACCCAGTCGTGCCCGGCAATCCAGTCGCGAACCGGCTGGGCTCGGCCTTTCGCAAGTTGTGTTGCGAGCTCGACCACTGGGTCGGGCGCTCCCTTTCGGTCCACCGGACTATGTCTGAGCGTTGCACTCTTTTTTCCTTTGGCTAAAGTTTTTTCCCGCTGGGTTTTTTGTTAGCCTAAGGTTTTTAACGAGGCAACCGGCATATGTCACGGACCGTGTGACTCGTTTTTCCAGCCCGAACCCTTCCTCGATGCTCGTCGTCAGGGCACGGGCTGTGGGGGCTTTTGATAAGGTATATATCCCGGGTCCGTGCCATCGCTCAGTCATGAGGGGAGGCGACGGGTCAAACCCGAGATGGGTCAAACCCGCCGCCTCGGTGGGCCTTTAAAAGGGCCTGGAGCCCTTTGGGAAAGGGGAGGCCCATTTCCTCCCTTCCCCATCTCTCGGCTCTCTCTCTCCCTCTTCTCCCCTTTCTCTCAAAATGCAGAGGCAAATAACAACAAACCAGTTTAATAAAAGAGGGATTTTGAGCTATTTTCTTGTGTTCTTCCTCATGTTTATACATATACATATTCATCCAGTACATACACCCTTCTATGCGGGGGAATTAATACTATCAATATATATATATATATATATATATATATATATATATATATATATATATATATAGCATTAGATGTTATATAAAACAAATATTTATGTTTAAGTTATTAATAGTTTGATTATCTTAGTTGGTTAAATTTCATATATATATTTTTTATGTTAAGAAAATTTATAGTCATAGGGTCAAATCTCATTAACAACATTTTTCTTATCTTCACTTGTTTATTTTGTCTCTTTCATTCCTTCCCAAGATAAATATTTTTTAGTCTGCTTTTATAAATCATTTAATTAACAAATTAAATATTCTTTTAGTCTACTTTTTATGAATCATTCAATTAATGTAATATACAAGTTTATATTATACTTCATTATATTCAAATAATTTAGAAAAATTTAAAATTGATCTTGATGGGATACCCGATATTTGAACCCAATTGGACCGCCTAGCCCCGATTGACCCATCTAAGCCCGGTCAAAATATCCTACTAAACCCCATTTAACCACCATTAAATTATCCTAATAAAATATATTTAACTACCTCATCCTAACCCCAACTTAATACCCATAACCCCTCATCCTATTTACTACCCAATTAAACCACCATTACTACCCATAATTCCTACTAAATACCCACCCAACAGACACTATTTAGCTAGCTATAAAAAGGGATGAGCACAAGGAAAAGGGCATCTCATCATCATCACAGAGGAGGAAAGGGGCATGTTATTCACTCTCCCTCACACTATTCTTGACCACAAGAGAAGACTATTCACTTACACAAGAGAAGACCATCCACTCTACCACTCCATCACTCTTCCCTCTATCACTCTTACTACATTACTAGAAAACACAATACTTTGTATATAAAATAGCTTTACAACATGTACAAAGATACCTATAGAACATAGTGGATTTAGGCTTGACATCGTCCAAAAAGGCCCGTGGTTTTCACCTTTCGGTTTCCACGTCAAAATCATTGTGTTTAGTTTCTTTAGAGTTTATTTTAGTTATCTTTATCCAAACGGTAGACCTTTCGGTTTCCACGTCAAAATCATTGTGTTTAGTTTCTTTAGAGTTTATTTTAGTTATCTTTATCCAAACGGTAAATCTACCAACCACCGGTTGTGTTGGACCTCCTTGAGTCCAAAAATCCTAAAACCAACAGATCTAACTAAAAAAAATTAAATTAAAACATATTTATGAATATAGTATTATTCAAATTATTTTATCTAATTTATTATGTTTCATATGTTGTCATAAATATTTTCACATTGTCAGCCCACTCAAGTATATTTTTGGCTCCGACTCTAACTATCGTATAATATATCAAAAACATTCTATTGTAATTTATAATGTATTTTGTATTTTAACCTTATTATGACTGTTTAATATTTTGTAATTGACATTTCTAACGTTATTTAAACTTCGCCCCTACTCACAAAATTTTCTAGCTCCGATCCGTTCCTTCATAGTATACATCCTATTTTTGTATAATCTTATTATACTTCTTACAATTGAAATTTATATAATTTTTGATATAGTATAATTATTTGTCAAAATTTATGAGGATTGCGTGATGGTTTATAATTATTTTAAAGCAGTTCAAGAATTCATATCTGCAAAGCAAAGCAGTTCTCATATTAGGAGAAAAACTTAAATTCACTATGAGCATCTTTTAAAGTACAAAAGTTGGAAACATTTTTACACAATAAACTCTATCTTCTTAAATTCCTTGATTGAGATTTGTATTATAACTTTATTTTGGTCTTTGGTGACAATTTCAAATTTAGTTCCAAACTATTATTTTTGCCATTAATTATTTTTAGACACTTTTAGTCATTCTCATGACTTTTCCTATATTTTGTAAGGATATTTTTATCTTTTCAATCAATTTATGATTTACACAAATGTGTGGATCATGGTTCATAAAATAATGATTGCACATAATCACGTATCATAAAATAAAACATACCTGCTTTGTGAATACATAATATATAAATCAAATAGTACGAGAATCGACTCACTTAGTGGGAATCAGTTCTCCCGGTAAGCAATGTAATTGGCCAAGGCGATCAAAGGGGCAACCTTGCCTTGATCAAAGCCAGAGAGCTGAGCCTGAGCCTCTTTGTTCAGCTGCTCAGCAAACTCTCTGGACTTCTGAATCCCAAGAAGCTTAGGATAAGTCACCTTGTCAGCAATCAAATCCTTCCCAGCTGTCTTCCCCAATTCCTTGGAGGATTTGGTGACATCAAGAATGTCATCAACAACCTGAAACAACAGCCCGATGTTTCGGGCGAATTTCCTTAATTTAGCAACCTCTTCCTCAGTTCCACCACCCAGAATCGCTCCCAGAACCACAGAGGCCTCCAGCAAAGCTGCGGTTTTGTGGAGATGAATGAACTTCAAATGTTCTAATCCCACATCGGAGATGCCCTCTGAGCATATATCCACCACCTGCCCAGCCACCAGCCCCTCAGCGCCAATGGACTTAGCCAATTCACCAATAACCCTCACTATCTTCTCTGAGGGAACCCCTTTTGTGGCGGTGGCTATATGCTCAAAGGCAAACCCCGGCAAGGCATCCCCGGCGAGAACCGCCACGCCTTCCCCGTAAACCTTGTGGTTCGTGGGCTTCCCTCGCCGCATATCGTCGTTGTCCATACACGGAAGGTCGTCGTGCATCAGAGACATGGTGTGAATCATCTCAACCGCGCAGGCCGCCGGCATGGCGGTGGCCTCGTCCCCGCCGACGAGCTCGCAGGCGGCGATGCATAGCATTGGCCGGATTCTCTTCCCGCCGGCGAGGAGAGAGTACCTCATGGCTTCGTGAAACTTCCGCGGCTCCTTCAGCAACACCGCCGCTTCCAGCGCCTTGTTCACCGAACTCGCCTTCCCCAACACGTACGCCTTGAAATCAAGCTTGGTCGGTTTCTTGTTCTCGCTCTCTTCCTGGGGAATTGCATTAGCCTGCTCCTTGGTGAGAATCGCAGAACAAGAATGAAACAGCGGTTTCTTGATTGAGCTTGGGAATGACATATTTATGCGGAATTCATTGTTTTTTATGAGAGACCCGGATCTGAATCTACCGCAAAAAGAATGGGTGTTTGCCCAAGTTGTACTAGGATTTGCAAGACTCATACTTTCCTCTGTGAATGAAAATGCAGTTCGGAGATTTCTTTTGAGGATTCTCAGAGCATTCAACTGACGTCACTTACTTTCCTCTGTGAATGAAAATGCAGTTCGGAGATTTCTTTTGAGGATTCTCAGAGCATTCAACTGACGTCACTAGGAAGAGTGGAAACTAATGGCATGAAATTTGAATGTGGAGTGAAACACTGGTAGGATTGGTGGAATATTGCATGTTGGAGGATATATAGACATATGAGATATGGTCAAGAGCTTCATTTATTTATTTATTTATTTTATTTTTTGAATACAAAGAGGGGACTACCCGGTGTGAACAACACAAAAAACAAATTGCTCCGCAAACTAACAGCGCCTAATAAATCATTGTGCATCAAATTAATGCAACCAGGAATGGGGTTGTCAAATTCCACCCATCCCTCATTGCCATTAGCATCCAAAAAAGCAAGGAAGTCCGCAACCATGTTTTGTTCGCGATAAACATGAACAAGCTGACTCCTTTCTTCCGCTTCAAAAAACTACTACACTGCTCTAGAGTTCTGCACGAGTGTCTCTCTCCCCAGTTTCTATCTCTGATGGTGTTCACCATTTCTTCACAATCACTTTGGATCTCCAAGTTGACGATGCCTTTAGTTTGGATCCACTGAAGCCTCATCCTTAAAGCTTTGATCTCAGCCTCCATCGCATTCGCTGCACAGTACGATAAAGCACATCTAGTAATCCATCTTCCAGTCTTGTCTTTAAGAACTGCACCCCCTCCTGCACGCTTGTCCTCACCTCTTAAGCATATGTCCATGTTGAGAACCATATCTTTGCCCGTCGTTGTTCTCCATTTGAGTTGCTTGACGAGGTAATTCCCCTGAGATCCTTCCAGTATAATGGATCTAGTAAAATATTTCCTAGTATCCAACTCTTGTTGTCTAATCCACTCAATTTTGTGATACAGCCCCCATTCTGTTCCTCCAAAAGCAATTTCATTTCTCCTGTGACACCCCATAAATCTAACCCTTAATTGAGATTAATTGAGGAATTAATCCTAATTTCCCTTTGATAATTTCCTTCTAAAAATCATGAAATTTAATAATCAAGGGACTAGAATTTGACTAGTTTCCTTAGTCAACCATGTGTACCTTTTGCCTTGTGCTTTGTACCTTAACCTTTTGTCTTCCTAGCCTTTTAGTAAGGGTAATCTTATCCTTTCACACATGCTTGGTGTTTAAGCTTGCCTTAGCAAGACACATTTCATTCATCATCTTTCTAACCAAATCATAAACGATCCACCTTCTCTCTAAAGAAATCTTGGCTTGCTTTTCAAGCTCAAAGAAGAACCATCCATCCTTGCAAAGTTTCATCTAAAGATTCCACATTTCTACCTCCCTAGCATAGGAAAGGGTAAGATCTAAAGTTGATGGTTTTAGGGTTTTCGGGCCCAAGGAGGTCCAACACAACCTTTGGCTGGTGGGTGCACCTTTCAGTAAAATGTATGCCTATCTCGGAGATAATGCGAGTACTCGGAACCTTTTTGGTATTCTCCCCCTCTGGGTGTTCAATCGTCTGTCCTTTTACAAGAATGGAGGAGCCTTTATATAGCGGCTCCTCCTCTACCGACTTGAAGGCCCTTAATGGCCGACTTCAAGGCTAATCAAGATATGGAGCCGTTGGACGCTATTACTTGGTCAACCAACGGCTCTTCTAGGCTTGTAACAGCCTGACTGAGTCCTGCTTTCAATTCCCTAACGGCTCCCTTTTAAACGAGCCTCTTCAATGCTCTCAACGGCTCCTTGAACCGAGTCTTCCCCTGAGCTTGGGCCTCGATCGACTCCTCGTCTCGGCCTAAGCTCCCACTGGGCTCCTCTTTAGTAGCTCTGAACCGGGCCTCGTGCTTGGGCCTGGGCCGGCTCCCGGACTCGGCCCAATTGCTTTTCGGACCCCTCTTTACACTGGCCCACTTCTCCTATCTATTTTCTTTGGGCCCCTATCTCTTGGGCCGGGGTCCTCACCCCATCAACTAGTCCCTCACTTTTCCATACCCGGTCCGCTAGCCTGGGTTTGGAAAAGTAGCAACTGTCCATCTCCTTCAATCACCGTATCTTCGCCTTGAATAGCTTTCGGTAACGTCCGGATCCTCAGCCATTCCCTCAGGATCTCGCGGGGCCGTTTGGATTCTTCCGTCTAAACTTGGCACCTATAAATGGCGTCCTTCCTTCTCTTTCACCTTCTCAAGTCTATCATGGGTCGTTCTCCTCTGAAAGGAAAACGGATTGACTTCGGGTCTCCTTGGCGTCCGCTGCCCTCCAAGCGGACTCGGCCTGAACGGGAACAGAAGAAGAAGACTCCTCGCTCAGCCCCTCAGAGGTCTCCTGCCGGCGCTATGTCCTCAGCTTCTCAGCCGCCGACTCCTACTCGACGCGAGGTCGCTCCGCCGTCACGCCATCCGCCTACTCCCACGACTGCCCGAGTGACTTCTCAAGATGGGTCCTTTGTTGAGGTGGCGGTTCCAGAGCAACTTACTTTCAGAATGACCTTCTCGATTCCGCTGGACGACCTGGACGGGCCGGTTACGGGCCTGATGAATGATGAGGATTAGGCCCGCTACCTGGAGGTGTATCCGAATGACGAGGAGCCAATTGCGCCACCACTCATGCCAGCTTTCTGGGACTCGTTCTGTCCATCCCCGCCTGGACCATCGGGGGGGTTCTTTGGGGGCGACTCCTCCTCGCCTGGCGAGTGATCGTATGTACCGGAGTCGGCCATAGTTCGGAGGAATTTCTTTTAGGAGCATTTTCATATTCCTTATTGTAATAAGCTCCTTGCCATTTGTATCCTCCTTTTTGCAATAATAATAATAAATGCTATCCTTGCCTTATGTTTTGTCGTGTTCTATTACGTACTCATCTGGACGACTGGTCAAGGAGTCGGTCACGTCATCAGAATCTTTTCGGTCTGACACCTGCAAGATTCCCCATATCTTGGGCGAATCCAATTTTTTCTGCGTTGGCGTGCGAATCTCGCTCTTCTCGAGCGGATCTGATGGAACTAATCTCTGACAGAGATTCGCGTCATCCGTCTAATCCGGCTCAGTTATGTCAGTTATAATCTCCTCCGCGATTATCGCCTAGGTATTTGCATTCGCTGGGCTATATAAAGGCCCTTTACAGTTGATGCAAATCGCAACATTCTCTACTTTGCGAAGGTACGGCGCTATGAGTTATAGGGACGGTGATCGCCGCTGGTCTATTCGTAACAAGGAGCATGCTCGTCTGGAGCAATTGAGGCAGAAGAGGTTGGCTAACGAAGGTCGTTTGGTGGGCGACTCGGCCTCAGACCCCATCGTGGTGCCTCCAGACATGCTGGACCTGATGTGTAGGGAGCCCATCGACGTGGAGATGGAACCTGGGGTGGAGATGGAGCCTGTGGTGGAGGATCCCGAACCAATGGTGGAAGAGAAGTGGGAGGCTCCTCCCCTCTTCGGTGTGGCCATGTCGCCGAGCGCTCTGGAGAGGCCCTTGCGAATGATCGATGACGGGAAGTCCGCCGTGTATCTGGACGAAATGCCTGAGCCTGAGCCGAGTCCTCTGCCTTTCCGCTCTCAGTACCTCCTAGAAGGTCCTCCGACCGCTCGCCCGTCGACAGAGAAAGAAGCCAAGCCTTGACTCGTTTTTTCTCTTGTAATTTGCATCGGCCGAGTGCTGGGCCTTGTAATCTTCGTACTAATTAAATAAATTGTGTGTTTTTTCTGTTCGACCCCACATCTTCTTAGTATTTTGTCGACCGACCTCTGGTCTATGAGACTGATTCCAAGTCTCGCTATGGCGAGACCCTCCTGGTGAGGGAGTCGCCGAGTCTGATTGCCGACCTGGTTACCGGAGTCTCTTCGTGAACTCGGCTGATATCATTCGATGAGCCGGGTTCTACCGGGTCGTTCTAGAAGCTTCCAGCTCGTATCTCGTGGGCCCAGAGCCCATGGCCCACTACGGGCTTCCGGCTTAGCAGGCCGGGTCACTGACGTTCGACCCTAGCCTAGGGCAGACGCGCCGTCTGTGGGCTAACCCTAGGCCTGAACCGTCGCCCCGCCTTTTGAGGCATTAAATGCGGCGTCCCTTCACATCCCGTCACCTCCACTTCTTCTAACGAGAAGGTGGCACGTGGCCGTCCTCTGAAATTCCTCCCCTTTAAATAACCATTTCGTCTCTCTTTCCGTTCTTTTTCTCTAGTTTTTCCTTTCAACTTCAACTTTGAGCTTCTCCGGCCACCCTGCAGTTCCTCCGATCTCCCTCCTGACTTAGGTAATGTCTTCTTCCTCGCATTCTTCTTCTTCCCGTCGTTACTCGGTTGATAACCCGGAGGCGACCTCTCCTTCTTCTTCTTCTCCTTCTTCGTCTTCTTCTACTCCTCCCCGTCGTATGGAACTCCCGGCGGACGTTCCATCGACGTCTTCTCTTCGTCGTATGGAACTTCCGGGGGACGTTCCATCGACGTCTTCTCTTCCTCCGACCCCCTCTTCTTCGGGGGCGGTTACTCCGTTGAGCCCCGCTCCTTTGACGACGGTGGCGGCTCTGCCGGGTGGTGTCGGACGGCCGCGGGGCAAGTTCGATTCCATCGTCCGCCCTTCCAGGTCACCGTCCGTTGTGTCGGCATTCACTTGCACTCGGTTGCCTTTGGCTTCCGAGTTCCTCCGTGTCCTTTCCTTTCCCTTTTTTACCGCCATTATAACTTAGTTCCGGGCCAATTAGTGCCCAATTCTCACCGACTCCTCACCTGCTTTGTCAACCTCTGCCACTGGTGGTTGTGCGAGCCGGATCTAGACCTGTTCCGGTATCTCTTCACCGTGAACAAGGTTGGCTCGCACTCGCCTGGCTTTGTTCAAGTTGCCGCTCGCCCGGGGCGACAGCTTTTCGAGGGGCTGTCTGATTCCATTAAGGACTGGAAGCTCCTCTACTTCTTCGTCCGCCCTGCTTTCTCTTCCTTCACCTTTCCGACCTTGTGGCCGGCCGCTCTATTCAAGCCTTGCTCTCGGCGTGCCGTTCCTTCCGATGATGCGGTCCTGGGCGGCGAGTTCTTGAAGGGCTTTGGGCCGTACTCCGTCAAGTACTGGTCCCGAGTCCGGGCCATGGCTAAGCGTGGCTTGCTGCCGGAGGGTGCGACCACCATAGGTAGTCTTCATTACCCCTCGTTCCTCTTCTTTT